GGAAACCAACAAAATATTTTAATATTTTAACAGATGTATGAGCCTAAAGAAACAAAAAGTAGGATACAGAGAAGCTAGAATATCAGAGAATAGAAAAATATAACAGTGATAAAACAGTCTGTTAGGTTTGTACTCAATACAGTTTTTGAATTATGAAGCTAGGAAGGTGAAATCAAGCAGAAACTCATAAAAAGCAGAGTAGACTTTCAGCAGTATTGTGATGCTCTGTAGATAGGAGTTAGAATGTACTGGGTGGAGGAACCCTGGTGAATACTACATGATCTCAACTGGTATCTATGTAACGCTAAGACTTAGATATGAAGTTTTCCCTAAAGTACTATAGCCTAACCACGAGTTAATTTGGTCTCTAATTGGTCAGAGGGGTCATACAACACTCTTTCTAGTAGAGAAAAATAATATCACCCAAAGCTGTAAAATGTCTTAGGAAAAGGCCTTGTTTTTTTCATTTGTTTGGTTGGTTTTTAAAAAATTACCAGGCAGACTAAGAACATGCCCTCAAACTGTGAGACAAAACAGAGCTGTAAAAGAAACCATAAAGGGATCTCTTCAGTCTGAAAAGAGATGATATAAAAGGAAAACTTAGAACTTGAAGGATGAAGGAGGAATAAAAGAAATGATAAATATATGAGTAAATAGGCTAATTTTTCACCTTAAGTTTAAGATATAGATGACTGTTGAAAGCAAAAATAACAACATTTTCTGGTGTGGCTTTCAATGAATCCAAATACAATATGTGTGAAACTACAACTTAAAGGGAGAAGTAAAATCACTTATATGGTTGTAAGGTTTCTACATTTTAAGAGGAGTGGTAAAATATCACACACACACTATACACACACACACACACACATATCACTGTATATTTATATCCATATCCATATGTATATGGATACATATATACATATATACATATATATTATGATATAATATATATAAAGAAATAGAAACCATTAAAAAACTGGAGCAGAATAATATAATGAAAGAAATGAAAAACCCAATAGAGAACTTTAACAGCAGACTTAATCATACAGAAGAAAGAATTAGTGAATTCAAAGATGATCTTTTAAAATTACCCAATTAGAGGAGCAAAAAGAAAAAAGATTGAAAAAGAGTAAAGAAAGCACAAGGGACATATGGAACACCATCAAATGTATGAATATATAAATTATGGGAGTACCAGATGGAGAAGAGAGAGATGGGGCAGAAAGGTTATTTAAAGAAAGACTGTCTGAAATCTTCCCCAATCTTGGGAGAGTTATGTTCATACAGTTTCAGGAATCAGAAATAACTCCATGGAAGATCAATTCAAAAAGGAATACTCTGAGACACATTATAGTGAAATTGTTAAAAATCAGACAGAGTCCTGAAAACAGCAAGAGAGAAGAAATTTACCACATATAAAGGATCTTTCATAAGGCTGTCATCAGATATCTCAATGGAAATTTGGCTAGCCAGGAGGGAATGGGATAACATTCAAAGTGCTAAAGGAAAAAAAATTTCTAACCAAGGATACCACACCCTTCAAAGCTGTTCTTCAGTAATGGAGGAGAGATAAGGACATTACAAGATAAAGGAAAACTGTGGGAGTTCATTATCATGAGACCAGACTTATCAGAAATGCTAAAGGAAATTCTTGGAGTTGAAATGAAAGCACAATTAGTAACAATATGAAAACATATAAAAGTATAAATCTTACTGATAAAGGCAAACAAATAATCAAATTGAGAATAGTCTAATACTGTAAAGATGGTGTGTAACTCTAAATCTAGCATAAGAGTTAAAAGACCAATAAATGTATTAAAAACAACTATAACTATAAAGAATTGGTTAACAGATACACAATATAAATAGATGTAAGGTACAACATCAACAGCAAAAAATGTGTGTGTGGGAGAGAAGTGTAAGTGTAGAATCTTTGTATGGAATTGAAGTTAAGGTGCTATTAGCTTAAACTAGGATATTATGACTATAAGAAGTTTTATGTAAGCTTTATGATAACCATAAAGAAAAAACCTTTAGTAGACATACTAAAAGAAAAAGAGACAGAAAAATACAACAAATCACAAAGAAAGATAACAAGATTGAAGAAAGGAACAAAAAAAGTACAAAATAGTCCAAAACTTAGCAAAAATTAAAATATTATTTAACAATATGCCAAATAAAAATCAGCAAAATGCCAGTAGTAAGTCCTTACCTATCAATAATTACTCTAAATACGAATGGTTTAAATTCTCCAATCAAAAATACACAGTAGCTAAATGGGTGAAGAAAACAAACAAACAAACAAAATCCAACTCATAAACTGCCTACAAGAGACTCACTTTATCTTTAAGGACACACATAAAGTGAGGGATGAAAAAAGGTATTCCAAGTGAATGATAAGCAAAAAGTGGCTATACTTATGTCAGACAAAATGGTGAGAAGAGACAAAGAAGGACTTTCTATAATAATAAAGTGGTCAATTTATCAAGAGAATATAACAATTTTAAATATATATGCACCAACATCAGAGCACCTAAATGTATAAGGTAAATATTAACAGATATGAAAGGTGAGGTAGATTGAAATACAATAATAATAGGGAATTTTAATACAACACTTTCAACAAGGGATATATCATTCATACAGAAAATCAATAAGGAAACAGTGAACTTGAACAACACCTTAGACCAAATGGACCTAGCAGACATATAGAAAATTGGTCCAATAGCAGTAGAATACACATTCTTCTTAAGTACACACAGGACATTCTCCAGGACAGATCACTTGTTAGGCCACAAAACAAGTCTTGACAATTTTAAGAAAACTGAAATCACATCAAGTATCTTTATATTCATAATGGAACAAAACTAGAAGTCAATAACAGGAGGAACTCTGGAAAATTTACAAATGCATGGGAATTAAGCAACATGTTCTTGAACAACCGAGGATCAAAGAAGAAATTAAGGGGGGAATTAAAAAATATCTTCAGACAAATGAAAGTGGAAACACAGCATACCAAAACTTACAAGATACAGCAAAAGTAGTTCTAAGAAGCAAGTTTATGGCAATAAGTGCCTATATCAAAAAAGAAGAAAGATATCAAATAAGCAACTTAACAGTACACCTCCAGGAACTAGAAAAGGAAGAACAAACTAAGCTCACGGTATGTAGAAGGAAGGAAATAAATATCAGAGCAGAAATAGAGAATAGAAAGACAGTAGAAACTAAATTAAAATCAACAAAACTAAGAGTTGATTCTTTGAAAAGATAAACAAAATTGACAAACCTTTAGCCAGACTAAGAAGGAAAGACAGAAGAGTCAAATTAAGTCAGAAACGAAAGAGATGTTACAACTGATACCACAGAAATACAAAGGATCATAAGTGACTATAATGAACAACTACACACCCAAAAAACTGTTAACCTAGAAGAAATGGATAAATTCTTAGATACATATAACATATCAACAAATACAAAATCTGAACAGATCAATAAAGAGTAAGGAAATTGAATCAACAATAAAAAATCTCCTGTCAAAGAAAAGCCCAGGATCAGATGAGAAGAAATGGATAAATTCTTAGATACATATAACATATCAACAAATACAAAATCTGAACAGACCAATAAAGAGTAAGGAAATTGAATCAACAATAAAAAATCTCCTGTCAATGAAAAGCCCAGGATCAGATCGCTTCACACCAGCAGTGTACCAAATATTTAAAAAAGAACAAATACCAATTATTCTCAAACTCTTCCAAAAAACTGAAGAGGGAAAACTTTCAAACTCATTTTATAAGGCTACCATAATCCTGATTCCAAAACCAGTAAAGCACACTACAAGAAGAAGGTACAGGCCAGTATCCCTGATGAACCTATGCAAAAATCCTTAACAAAATACTAGCAAACTAAATTCAACAGTACATTAAAAGGATCATTCACTATGATCAAAGTGGAACATATCTCTGAAATGCAAGGATGGTTTAAGATATGCAAATCAGTAAATGTGATAACCATATTAACAGAATGAAAGACAAAACCCATAAAATTATCTCTATGGATGCAGAAAAATTATTTGATAAAATTATTTTATGAAAAAAAACTCTCAACAAGTTAGGCATAAAAGAAATGTACCTCTAGACAATAAAGGCCATTTATGACAAGCCCATGTCTAACATCACACTCAATGATGGGTGAAAACTTTTCCTTTAAGATCTGGAACAAGATGAGAATGCCCACTCTCATCACTTCCATTTAACAGAGTCTTTCTAACTCAATGATAGGGAGAAGATGAGTTTTATTACTTTTATTAAGCCTTATGTTGAATGCTTAGTCATTGCAGTAACACGCATACTGGTCATAAAAGTTATAAATATTAGAAAGAGAAAACTTTCATTATTCTTCAAAAATATAATTTGGCTTGTAAAAAGTTCATGGGAATCTACAATTGGAGAATTAATAATACATCAGTTGAAAATCTCTGGATTCGAAAACACAAAATAAGTATGAACTGTTCCTTCACTCTAGCAACAAATAAAGGAAACAAAATATAATATTTATAAAAGAATTTTGATGGAAAATTAACATAATGATAAGGCATCTAGAAATAAAACTATCAAAGATGTACAAAATCTTTATGAAGGAAAGTAAAACTTCACTGATAAGCATAAAATGACACCTAAATCAATGGAAAGCTATAGGATGTTCATATATTGGAAGGCTAACTATTATAAAGCTGTCACTTTTCTGTAAATTAACTTATAAATTTCTTGCAATTCTAATAAAAATCTTAATAGAATTTTTCATGGATCTCGAAAGCTTATTTTTCATAGTTATTTGGAAGGGCATAAGACCAAGAACGAATAATACACTTCCTAAAAAGAAGACCCTACATGATATTAAAATTTATTTTAAACACACAACAATTAAGACAGTATATTCTTAATTGCAGAGATGAGCAAAGGCTTCAAAATAAAAAGCCCAGAAATATGTCCATGAAAATTTGATTTATGAAAAATTTAGAAAAAATAATTTAGAATAAAAAATTTTAGAAATCTGTGAGGAAGTCTGAGTTTTTCAAAAAATAGTACACAGGGCATTGATAATCCAACAGGAAAAGCAACAACAACAACAACAGATTTCAGCCAACCACAGTACACAAGAATTTCACTGCAGCTTATAAAAGACCGAAGAGTGAAAATGAAACTTTAAATGTTCAGGAAAGAACAGAGGGAAAATAGTTTTTTGACCTTACTGTAGGACAAGATTTCTTAAAGAAGACACAAAACACTAAAATTTTTAAATGCAAAGATTGATATGTTTGATTACATTAAATTTGCACCATAAATTCAAATCTATAACATTAAATTCAGAAGAATATTTACTGTTGAGTGGAAGAGCAAAAAAAGGGATGGGGAGAGGTGCACAGGGGTTCTCTACTTAAGATCTAAGAAAATTGAGGGTTGGATATATGGGTGTTCTGTATTCTCTATTTTGTGAATACTTGCAATATTTCATCAGAACAAAAAGGTTGTAATGCTTAGATATAACCAATCTTTCCTATTCTCGGAGATGTAACATATTTAGCTTGGCTACAAGTAACAGAAATAAAAAAGAATGGCTTGAATAACATAGAATTTCATTTTGCTTTTTTCTCTCTTCATGAAAGCTGCAGAAAGTTAGAGGCTGGAGTATCAAAGTTAGAGACTGGAGTATGCGTGGTATCAAAGACCATATTCTTTCAGTCTTATTGCTGTACCATGTGTTGCCTTAATTATTACCATCACTTCATGAATTAAGATGGCTGGCTGTTAGAGATCAAAGCATTATTTCTCCTCTCCAGCCATTACATAATAAGAAAGAAGTCATTGAGAACTAGTACACGCTGTTTTACATAGTTGATCAGGTCTTAGACATATGGCCACACTGTATGTTCATTATGGAAAAGTAATTTTTCTAGGCAGCCATGTGTGAAGTGAAAAAGCAGGTATCTTTAGTATGGAAGAGGAAAGTACAGAATTTGAAGTAAATTTGCCACAAACATTTATTCACTAACTTTTCCCCAAATTCTTATTTTTTACTCTGTATGACATCAAAAGCAAAATACACAGTAATTTCATTTTACTTATTGCTTTTCATTAAAATTGTTTCCAAAGCATGAATGCAAAAGACAATGTTCATAGTATTTGTATATGGGGTTGGAAAAATACACAGTAATTTCATTTTACTTATTGCTTTTCATTAAAATTGTTTCCAAAGCATGAACGCAAAAGACAATGTTCATAGTATTTGTATATGGGGTTGGAGACAATATACCTAGACTATAGATAAAGTGACTATGAAATCCTTATTATGATTTTGAATTCCTTACTTGCTAATGTTTTCCTGTGAACTTGAATTAAAGACTTGTAATAGTGTGATTTCCAGTTCTAGAAAATAACATTTCTAATTGTTTAGTCCAATTTCTTTACATAATAAATTAAAAATCAAGAAAATAGCTATTTAGTGGATGTATCCAAAATTAAAATCTAAAGTTTATTGATTCTTGGTCTAGAGTTCTTTTCACTATATCTCTTCTTAAATGTTTGTGATTTATTTATTTACTTTTTTAATGACATTTTATCAAAAAGTCTAGTGATTACGTTACTACGATGGTTAGTGACTAAATTTAAAACAAATGGAAACATTATCTATCATTCAAACGTTCTGCTAATAATTATGACAGCACATAAGGCATCAACTGGGACTGTCCCAGGCAACCAAAAGATTATGGTCACCCTATGTGAGCCATTACATTCCTAAAATAATGATAAAAACCATGCATTATTG